CCCGCCGACGAGTATCTCGTCAACTGTGGCTCCGACGTTGACTCCACCGTCGATAACCGACGCTTCGTCGCCGACGCAACGACCTCGAACGTGAAGTTCTTCACATCCGAAGGATCAATCGCTCTACAAGGAGAAGATCTAGCTCCTCCGAACGTTCCTCAGATCTACAAGACCGCTAGGATCTTCGCGAGACAGGCGAAATACGAGTTCAATGTCGGAGAGAAAGGGACTCACATGGTACGTCTCCATTTCAATCGTCTCAATTCCTCTAAAATCGACCTCAATGACGCTGAATTTCACGTTACCGTTAACGGTCATGTCGTGCTTAGGAATTTTAGAGGCGATGATAACGACTCTAGGGTTAGAGAGTTTCTGATTTGGGTCGATGTCAGAGAGGTCGTTATCAGGTTTGTTCCTAGTAAAGATTCCAAATTTGCATTCGTTAACGCCATTGAAGTTATATCTGCACCTAAGGATTTGATTGCTGACGTTGCAACCTCTGTATCACACGATGGAACTGGGAAATTCAATGGTTTAGCTAAACAAGCTATGGAAGTGATGTATAGAATCAATGTTGGTGGTAGGAAAGTTACTCCTTTTAACGACACATTGTGGAGAACTTGGCTTCCTGATGATGAATTCTTGGAAACCGGTGATGGGTCTGAGAAAACTTACTTCACCGGTAGGATTAAGTATAGGCCTGGAGGAGCCAGCCGCGAGGTTGGTCCTGATAACGTCTACAACACCGCCCGTGTTGTTAAAAGAAGCAGCGGTTTGGTCAAAATGAGTTGGGATTTCCCGGTCAGCACGGGTTATGAGTATCTCATCAGGATGCATTTTTGTGACATAGCTAGCAAATCACTCAATACGCTCTATTTCAACATTTACATCAACGGGAACTTGGCGTATCAAGATTTCGATATCTCATACTCTGCGGACAACGTCCTTGCTTCCCCGTATTACATTGATTTCGTGGTGGATGCTACTGCTGATACCAACCCTTCAGGATCGTCCATAACCGTGAGTGTTGGGCCATCAAACAAGACTAGCGTCGATGGGAATGGAATTGATGCGATATTGAATGGTGCCGAGATCATGAAGATGAATAACTCGATGGGTAGTCTTGACGGGTATGTTTCGGCAGATATGATATTGAGTTCTTGCCCGAACAGAAGAAACCTGAGCATATTCATCGCGATGATGGCGTTTATGTGTATATTTATGAGCTTTTACGTTGTTGCTCAAAGGAAGAAGAAGGTTAGGGAGGACTATGGCTGGACCAAGCTGTCTATGGACGTCCGTGAAGATAATCCAAAGTCCGGGAATCAATTTGCAGCAATAAAGCCTTGATGATGATGCTTTTGCTTGTTCGGTATATTAACAAACTTTTTTCTCTTGGGCATTTTCTACTTTGATACGATGAAATAATCTTCTTCTTTTTTTTGTTTATTAGATTTGTAATGTTTCACACCAAAC